GAACGGAAAGGAAGAAACTGTTTCTCTTAGACATCTGGCACCCAAAGCACAGACAATATCAGATGTCTATTTAACTGAATCAATCGAAAGTGTAGCGGCTCCTCCAGACGAGACTCAATCACACTCGCTTGATCCTCCTGGAGGCGAAACGGCACCACCAGAACAACCCAGTGAAGTTCCAGGGAATGTCCTACAGTACATCACAGACCAACAGCGTGTTCGACCGTATAATCTTCGAAACCGCGAAGCCTAATTTATATTCTCACGACAATAATCCCTCCGGCGGGGAAGAATGTTATATACTGACGTGTTTAACGTTTTACTCGCTATTCGTTGAGCTAATTATGTTTCCTAATGTTTTAGCTGATGTACTGAAATTGATATTAAATTAAAGCCAATCATTCGGCAATCCTCGTTCTCTGTTTCTGGCACAATCATTCGAGTGCGCAACAGCAGCCACATCTTGTATCCAGCAAGGCTCTGGCACAATCATTCGAGTGCGCAACAGCAGCCACATCTTGTAGTGTCTCCAGCAAGGCGCAGTGAGGATCACGTGGTCCCCATCCTGGAAAAAGAGTAGCACCGACAACACCCAAGCGTTTCGTGATCTGTTTCATTCTCCTCTGCTAAGTCAAGGGTTGGCCATTCTGAATTGGGCATGAAAAACAGCACTCTCTTCGGAAAATGATGGTTCGGCATACGCAGCACATGTCCCAAACAATGCAGCTTCTGGTGTTGGACACATTCTTCAATGGAAGTACTCAATGCACAATCCAAAACGTGCTTTCTAACTGCCTAATCACGGATTCGCCGGAACCAATCCACACCAGTTATCGTTATGAGACAACGATTGTCGAACACCTGAAGACGTCTCGAATAGGCCAAGTCTCACAGCCATATAGCAAAAATGACAGTACTGCAGCTTGATACACGTCCTTTGAAATTCAGGGATACACCACTATTACGCCATAGGTGTCTCAAATTAACAAACACGACCCGAGCCTCACAGATTCGTGCATTCACCTCATGTCACACTACAATCAGAACTAATACAACTTCCAATATACATAAAACGCCCCACAACTTCCAGTACCTCCCCCGGGATTGTGAGTGGCGTGTTCAGTGACTGCACGTCTACTAGCATGACCTTACACTTTGTGGGTGCAAAGTGCATACCAAAGGACGGGATGACTTTGGACAGTTCATCCAAAAACACCTGCGCCTTCCCTTCAAAAATGATAACGATGTCGTCTGCGTACGCCAGATTGATAGGGTTTTCTTCACAGGCTGTCTGAGCACCAGGGCTTTGAGGACTCTACAGCGTTCGTCTCATTATTTCATCGAAGTTAAAAAGGAATGGAGAGAGTGGGCGTCCCTGACGGACAGCACTTTGTGTACGGAAGCTTTTGGAAAGCTCTCTAAACAGTAAAGCATGTGCATTTCCCGCCAAACACCGCTGCATTGCGGTTAGGCTTTCGAGCCAAAGACTGGCTGAGGACCCTAATCGTCCTCCTGTCTAGGTGTGGGAGCCCTGGTAGTATCCCAGCCATCGTACAACCATGACATTCACAACTGACAATACTATGACAGCGTCTGTGAAGCAAAGGTATCCGTCCATAAGGCGCCGTACGCCAACTCACACCTACAAAGTGTAAAGTACTACTGCAAGACTGGGTGGGCTCGAACCCTAGCCTCATGCTTGCGGGTGAACCGATTGAAGTAATGGACAAATTTGTTTACCTGGGCAGCTGTATCAGTCCCCGTCGTCTCGCGAAAGATATTTCCATCCGGATTGAGAAGGTCAGAGCAGCTTTTGTGAACCTGCGTCACCTGTGGCGTAGGCGTGACATCAGCCTATCCGTCAAGGATCGAGTTCACAATACTGTGGTGCGCTCCATATTACTGTACGAACCAAAAACTGGTGGTTGCGCGCTGAGGATGTCAAAATACTGTGGGTGACCATCGACGTCTTCGGAGCATTGCCCGTGTCTTGTGGGAACACCGGATTACCAATGTTGAAGCATGTCGAATGGTATTCGGAAGAAATAACACACCCTCGATAGATAAACTGATCACACTACACAGGTTGCGCTGGCTTGGTCAGGTGTTCTGTACGCCAGTCGACCGACTTCCGATAAGGGTTCTATTCACACAAATACGTGAAGGGTGGAAACGAGCCAAGGAAGGTCAAACAGTGACCTGGCCGCGAAGTGTGAAAGGCATTACCAGCAAACTCGGCTACGCTAGTCATCGCCGTCTCCCTGGGTGAGGACCTCGAGAAGGGCTGCATTGATGGTTAGAGACATTGTCAGACATGGCCCAAAAGCGGTGTTTCCAAGCTATTACCTTCACTGCATAGCTCCCTTCACAATTCCCCCACTTTATAGTCCCCTGCTGGCAGTGTTGTATTTATGCACGAATTTATCAGCTCCCGTGTTCAATGCGCAGCTACCTACCTCACCTCCGCAAATAACCGGTGAAGTGTGGCAGCTATAACGATGGTACGAAAGTAGGCGGTCTTACAACTGACAAGGATGGTGAGTGATGAACTGATTGCCATATAGTCTAACTGTGTCCATAACTAGCTTGCAGTTGGTGGCCTCCAACTAACTCGATGTGAGCGTTTGTGTTGGACGTTTGTACTGGCCGGGAACCCATGATGATCTGCATACAACCAAAGCAGTCGCGATAAATCTTGATAAAACCCGTTCTTCTCAGTTTCAGAACTGCTGTTTGTCGGGGCGCATGCCAATGCGACGAATGAACACTAGCCTGCATTGATCTTAATTGAGCCAGACAACCACACAGTGCACGGACGAGTGTTTACTAGGATCCAGTCCAGTAAGGCGCTTTTAGCCTTCTGACCGAGTCATCATCATCATCATCGTCAGTATGACATCAGTTTTCAACACTGATGCTTCACTGCTGAGCACAACTCTCACACCGTAGATACCACGAGCCATTGCATCAGAGTCGCCGGATACCCAAAGTGTAAAATGTAGAACATCTGAGATCGTCATAATCGATGTGTACGACCGAAGTAGGGTCTTGTATGTGTTACGGAGACACAACGCACATCGACAGATAGAAGCAAGCTTTCAGAAAGAGAAGCCTGTTGTCCAATATGACATTTAGTACGGACATTAAAGGCTGCAACCTGGATTAGATGTTTTGAGGTTAGTGGGTAACTATTTGAGTATATTTTCCTGGGCGACGGTTTTGACACGGAAATTGGTCTGGGAGTTGGAAGGTGGGTTGATCGCACTGCATCGTTCGATAGGGGGGAAGGAAATGGGGTGTGGCGGAAGGCCAGTGAGTCAAGAGCTGCAAGGGCGTATGATGCTTCCCGGTTGCCCAAGCCGGAGGTGCTTGGTGAAGGTACTCCACCCTAAGTCGTCGACTCGAAAGTATGACCCATAGGGTAGTGGGAGGATGTCATGTTTTGTTCAGGGACCATGCTCATAGTCTCTGACTCAAAAGTATGAACCATGGGGCGGCGGTTGTAAAGGTTTTCTTGGGGGATCCTTCCAAGAGTCAATGGCTCAATAGTCCGACTCGTGGGTGCAGGGGGCCGGGCTAGCCCGATAGCGCGGGGAGTGAGGCATTACTGTCTCGCTCTTAGTGCAGCTGCACACGACTAGTGCCTTTTGAGCGGCATTAGAATCACCAGTTTAGAAAGTATTTCGACGGTCACGATCAACCGTTAGGTGACCGGAGTGCCTGAATTTTAGGGCCGATATTTCCAAACTCCTCCGTCCTCGGGGGAAGGCATTCTCGCTGAATCCATAGGAATATGCTAGTCGCCTAAGTCATGCCTTACTGCCTTCACACTTTTGTAACAGAGAATAGTCCGCGCGTCACCTCCAGACTACCGCGTAATACGATTCCTCGAAGTACGGGGCTCGCTTATCTTCGTCGGATTGCTCCTCATTGGCCTTCCTGGCATGGCTGGGTCTTTATGAACTCAGATCCAGACAGTATAGCTCGAAGGACCACTACAGCAAAGAGGCCGGACTAAGTGACAGATTCGGTTCGGGGATATATGCCCAATGATGCTAGTTCCACAGCCTCGTAAGACAATTTTCTGTTGGTTCGTCCAGCATACACTGGACCTGCACGACTAATACCTCATTTGTGGCTGTATAGTTACCCATAATAGCTGGATGGTGCATTAGATATCACTGATTCGTGTCAACAACGCTCGCATCACATGCATGTAGAAACCGTGTAAGTCGCCGGGGATTATATTTAAAAAAACGTCACTCCTTAGGCAAAGACAGAGTGCAACCGGAACAAACAGTGGAAAACGCTGTTGCAGTGCACATATGTGCATTATGTATACATAAACCTAAGATTATATTTGTTATTAAAATCCCACGAGGCCTTTTGTGAACTCCTCATAAGTCACAAAAATGCAAAATCAAAAAGTTGTGGTAATAGTGATATTCGCTTAGTAATGTCATTACGTACTGTGGTACTGAATACGAACCGCCCCGAAGACCAAATGTGGACAGTCTTGTCAACGCCTATGCTGGCATGCGACTCCACCATCGGCCACTAGTTAAATGGAAAAGCAGTTCAGAATACACAACTGACTGCAGATTCTAATCGCGCAGTAGCATGTATTCAGACCAATCAATCGGAGTTGTTTCGGAACTAAAATCACCTGGATTTCTGGATAGGCTGGTACGGTTCCAAAGAGATAAAGCATGGAGCTAGTTCACATAACGAAGCAGGAGCATTACGACTCCATGTCATATGAACTCACAGAGGTTTGAGCTTGCCGTGAAGCCACGACTCCAGAGGTTTGTGGTCAATGTGCATTGTGGAAACCCTTCCCGCGCTGAGGAGACTGGCGCTATTGGTGAGTTCAAACAACTTCCCCCAGTTTAAGATGAACAGACTCATGCTCCTGCGGATTCGGCAAATATACATGCAAAATGGAATGATTTTCCATCGTAACTAAGCTCATACTTGCCTGTAGACTGGAATAGAGGGAACCGTCGAGCACTGTCGCAAGTGATTATGGATGGCAATTTTTAGTATCCCACTCATTGGCTGTCTGGAGAGTCAGTTTCTGCTCCACCCCCTTTTTCCCCCCAAACCGGTGCAATGTTCTTCTAAGGAGTTTGTGTGTAGCGACTTTTATGTCCACAAATTACTCCAGTGGAGAGCCTCCGATCGCCAAATAACCGGCCGGCGGCTATGCTTCTGCCGGAACCAATTCATCTCATCTTCAGAGCTCTGTATCTTCTAAACTTTCCCGCGCATTGGTTATATTTTTAAGCACGCATTTTCTCAAGATGTCAGTCAATCACCAAGATTCCTTGGCTGAATCAAACGAGGCTGCTCGATCGAGAAACCCCAGATGATGCCGCCAAGAAATGCCGAGACTCCATTACTGTTGTGCTGGAATTATTAAAAATTGCTGTTGGATTTCAACCCCTGCAGATCATTGCAACGCACTTTAAAGAATGATCGTGGTAATGCTGTATAACTTAATGGATTTCCTGCGGTTCTCATCACAATAGGACAAATGTGGACTGAATATTCGCCGATGAAATATCTCTCATCTTGCGCGACGTGTTTTATGTTTGCAGCATTAACACACTATTCGAAGAGTAAACAAATTCTAAGTGAACGAATGGAGGCAATGCTTCTATTTCAAACTTTTTGCATCCCGTTACACAGGGAATTTAGTCTCCCGGCAATGAAAGCCAAAAATTTTCAGATGCGATGTTCTAATTTGTAGGTCACAAAGGACGACCCACGCGACATATGGGCCCATGAAATTTCTGTAACCGGCGATGGATCCGTGTCCGTATGCTCCTAATTCAATGTCTGTTTTATGGACAGAAACAACTTCGATTCCAGTTTCTTGCAAAATCTGTTAAAACCTACTATGCTGGATATGCGGAAATACTAGGAATAAATACCGGAATGTTGCTGATCCCCATCAAGGGTTCTAGGGTGTTTTGTAGAATTTACAGACCCATATCGGCGTTTCCAAGGGAAGGCGATAATTCTATGGTGTTCAAGTGCTGAAAACGCACCAGTGTGACATCGAAGCACGTTTGCTACCTAGACACTGTCGGTCACAAGCGGACTGTGCTGACGATGACTCGATACTCCGTTTGCGAGCAGGGGCTCCTTGGCTCGGCCGGATATCCATAAACAGTGGAGTCTGCGCCAGCCTACCGGCCAAGTTAATAATTGCTGGTACTGAACAACGAATTATTCGCATCTCATATATGGTTAACATTTTGTGCACTGGATATTTATGGCAAAGTCCCGGCAAACTTCTCTATTCAGGACGAGCCATCGTTCACTCAACCACGAGGTGCTCATGCATATTCGTGAAGTTTGGAGACTACAAGGTAACCACTTTTGGCACCACTTTTGGCCTCATGCCCATAGGTTACTTCGGTTTACCTGGAGTACATCTGGGTGGAGCATCTGATGCGTGTGAGCCATACACAGTGATAACGATGGGCGATATTCGCAAATTCCTACCGGTCACCAGCTGCTCCCTTAGTGGAGCGGAGCCCGTCAGTGGAAGAGCATAAATTGCAGCAGCGTGATATATACTAGTTTATGAATCGAGGATGCGGCTTTTGCGCACGGATGATGCATGAAATTTGGCCGTCTATCACTAGGGTGTCCAAAGCGTTCCCCGGGGTTCTTGAAACACCGGGTTAGTGGCGCTGAGACACTCCAAATTATTCGAAAAGTGTGAGCACCCAAATGATTGATGAGTCATTTGCGTTTCGTGGGTTACGTTGGTTAGGGTATATACCCCACCAGCGAATTGGCCATCTTCCCAGCAGAGCTATTTTGGCTCTCTCTTGTGCTGAGTGAATGCGATCTTGTGGTGAACAGTCTCTGATCTTAGAGGGAAGTGCGCATTTACTTACCAGTAACCTCAGACGGGTGAACAACTGACGCCTCCGCGATATGTGACATTAGAACTCAGTGGCCTTCACCGACGTGGCCAAATTGCCCATTCATTGACGTACCTTAATCGGAGTTATCATTCGCAACGTGATCTGCCAAACGAGCCAAACATAACTTTGCCACAAAAGGTTTTCGTTGTCGCCTCGTCATCGTGTATTCAAGCGACCGGAGATACCACGGCAAGAAAAATCGTACCTTAATCATATTATTCATAGACGATAAACCAAAGTAAACTCGGAGGACCTGAAACGACCTTCTCCTCGCTCACTAGCGTTTCTTAACACCCAGTCGAGCAAACTCCACTACCCCTCATAACGACGCTCCCACAGTATCATCTTGGAAATCTCCGCCACCTAAGCTGTCACTAGCACCAGGACAACTTGACATCAATGCATTCAACGCACTCGCCTCGGGTTGTGACACGATGTCGCATTCGGCGCAGCCCCACGGGCCATAAAAGGATGCAAGTCGTTTCACCCCTATTGGAAAACAAAAGACAAAACGGTTTAAAAAGATTTTGGAGAATCCCTGGGCATACCATGAGACGTTCGGTGTGGCACTACAGTCACTTAACCACAAAAGCAAACCGTGCTATATTATTGTGACCATAATCAACCCAAAAATTTTCTCTCGTATCCTGCGCGTTGCCAATACCTATACGTGGACACTTCGTGGCAGGCGCTAATTAGATTTAGAGTTGAATGCATGCCCAACACCCCTCAACTACGCATCGACCCGCAGACCCACATCCACAGTTTTGAGGAAAGCTAGTTTGAACAAAGAAATTTTCAACATAAAATTTAAGCATTCGACAGTATTTATTGGAACCTCAAAAGTGTCTACACATGGCTGCAGGTGTTTTTCAAGTTGATTAAACTTAATTAAGATCCATTGTAGGGGCGAAACTTTTATTTCAATGTCTGCCAATGGCTTGGAATCGTTTTTCGTGAATTCGTTGGGAAATTATGTGAAATTTTGTGGTTAACTATGGAGGCTTTGTGCGTGTAAGGACGATACAGACAAAAACGTGAGATGTCGGGAGATGTTCGGGATTTCTGGCTCGGTAGCAGGTGAAATCAAGCAAAGCTCACACAATGTGGTCACCAAGTCCTAGCGGAGCGTCAGCAAAATATATCCTGCTGCTGATGAGCGAATCCAAGAGGGATCGTGGTTGGCCTGCGCGGTATCTGGTGGGTGCGACGATATGTTGAATCCAAGCGCTCTACTGAACGACTTTGGAAGGCGCCGCTGCAAGATGTCCACTGGATCCGATGCAATGAAGCTCCATCCAGGAAGGATTCAGGGCGTTGAAATCACCCACCAAAATGGGGTATATGAAGTGGTAGCTGGAGGAGAGTTGCTTGTGTGAGGAATTGTTCATCTTTCGGAGGACACAAGGGGCTACGGCAGACCAGACCGAACACAATGACAAATGCCGCAGACCGTGAGGGTGAAAAGCAGGATCAGCTCCGAACCTTAGAAGAACGCCTAAAAGTATTCTAAAACCGTAGGTTGAAGGATGGAATCTTTGCATTAAGTTTTGGTATTTGATACGATTTATTTAGACCAGTAAAATCTTCACATGAGCCCACAGCCTTGTTTGATATTGCTTAAACGCACTTGGGGTCCACTATTTGCGCAGAATTCCAATTTTAATTGCTGCCAATGGCCTCGCTAGATGTGTTCACAAAGGCGGTGGGAGACTTTGTAGAAAGGCCAGTTTCTTCACTGGCACTGGATTTGGAAACGGTCTCAAGACCGCATGGACGGTGATTACTCCCGCGAAAACTCACACTGAAGCAGCATTCGCAACCTGTACAGAGGAAAGCTTCCTACAGTTGCGGCAGGCGTCCCACCAAACAGAGCCAGAAAATTCGCTACAGTTAATGAATTTTTCAAGATCGTAAGTACATGCTACACTGGGTACGTGGCATGCTTTTATATTATGGGGTTTATGCACAGAACAAACAGATAGCACAACAGAGCAAGTTCTTCTACATTCTGGCTGATCGGGACGATCTTGTGTGCGAGTACAACAAGCTCAGTCAGGAAACATTCGTTTAATGGTTGACTACGGCAAGCCATCAGACGGGCTATGGCAGTCGTGGCACCATCATCACGCCGTCGCACTTGGGTTCGTGGACAGCCTCGTACATGAACATCTTGGGAGTCATATGACGTCTCCGTTGTAATAAAGAGTTGCCAAGAAATCGTGACAAGTTAAGCCCAGCGTGGAATAGGGATGCTCTTGGGTCCACCAAGGGCGCACGTGGTTCAATGCTGACATTTAGACGAAGCAATAAGACAGCCGTGTCTACGTTGAGGACGCAAAATTAGAAAGTTCTGCTAGAAGGTGCTATGATATGAGTTATGCTGTGTCCCGAAATAGCACGCAGACCAAAATGGTCACAATTCTCAACTGCTTTAGTGAGGCGACGCTTTCCACTTCCAAAAACTGATCGATATTCAGGTGCGGATAATAGGTGTGCGTTCTGTGCAAACATGGGTGGGTAAATGTGATTATGAGGGACCACTGGCGAAGTTGTGGTGGCTCGTACCATGCAGGGACAAGAGGTCACAGAAAAAGTGGCGGGCCTGGTGGTGTTGCATGTTTGTGAGGTGACGTGATCTCAAATTGGCGTAGTTACGGCCTAAAGAAAAGCGAGTGGGCTGTGCCTATAAGGTGATATACCGCGTGAATTTTTGAATCGCCGGTAGTATTTTTTGCCCTGCTATCGATAATTTTTCGGATCCATAAAAAATTACCTGGAACATAAGTCACAACCTACAAATGAAATTTCGGTTTGGCGTCACAGGGGTCCGACAACCGTTTTTAACTTTTTAATTTTCTATTTTCTTTTGTACATAAGACCGAAATTAGTTTCAGCATATGCCAGGAATATCTTTAAGGATAGGGCATGCATTTGAAGCGGGAGTTGTCAGCCTAGCAGGCTTTTG